TTGTAATTTTCCAAAGTATGATACTTGACAAAACAAAGATCATGCCGCCATAGCGGCGACACCGATTTCTAGAACAAAATTGAAATGCCGCCACTATGGCGGCACCGATCGCAAAGGGTTAAACCCTTAAGCAGCCCTTTGACTACGAAAGACGTATATACAGGGTGTCCCGTAAAGAGTGTAACACACGGAAATGGGGGGTTGCTGGGGTGATTCTGAACAACTTTTTCCTTGACCAGAATGTTGTTTGAAGCTTCGTTTTTGAATTATTAACGAAAAACACTGGCCAATCAGAGCGCGCGTAGAGCCCCCGCTCAGGGAGTGGCGAACAGAGATTCGCGCGTACGCTTGTTCACCAATTTCGATTGATTTCGATTTATCTCGTTCAAATCGATGAAATGTTCCTTCATTTCATCAAATTCAAAGTTTCATATCGAACTCACCCGAGTAAAATTTATTATTCTCGCCTAATTCATTTTTTCCCCGTCACAGCCGAACACATTTCTTCGAAATTTTCCCGATTTTCATAGCTCTTTAATCCAAAGAAACGCGTCAAAACTCACGACTAACTGTTAGATAAGAGAAAAAGGAAGAATTCCTCAATTCAGTCACATCCGAAGGAGCAGAAAAGAAGCAGCATCGAGAAACCAGCCACAGCGACGAGTCTCAGAAGACATCAGGATCCAAGCTCGAGTCGTCGAAGAACGGCGAGAGGAAGGAAGAAGGTGGAAGGAAGAGGGAAGGCGGAAATCCCGCTACAGGAAATTTGAATTAAAGCCGTTGGACGGAAGAAAGGGGTCGCCATAAATCTTTTTACCGTCTTCAAACGGGGGAGGAAAAGTCCCTGGAGGCTGCGCGCCGTCCTGGAAACGTCCTCTCTTCTTTCTCCGAGGAACGAAGGAAGGAGAGAGGAATCCTCTTTCCCCCGTTGCTTTTTACCCGGCAACCCCTCTAATTTACTAACCTTATCGGCCTGTTTTCGAAACAAAGGCGTCCCGCAGCGCGCCGCCTTTGGTTTTCGACGGCTGGTCAAAGGCGCGCGAATTACTCGAGGATACGGAAGCGAGATTACCAGGTCACGTGTTTCTCGTACACACGTCTCGTAGACAACGAGAGAGAGAGGAAGAGAAGGGAGATAGGAAATTGAAAGAGAAACAACGTCGTCGAGTTGGCGAATGGAAAAGCTGACGAATGGATAGGCGGAGACACTCTAGAGACCTCGGTTGTTTCGTTAATTAAACGAAGCCACGAGCAATTAACCGGGACCAAAACGGTTCAACGAACCTCCGAGGGACATCTTGCAGCTCGAGGAGAGTTATAGTATGCTGATTGCGTTGTGCGTTCCCTGGCAATTGTTTCGGCGGCTGGTTTCTTCGGATCCTGCCATGATTATGCGCGAGTGTCTTCTGGCTTCTGTTACAGGGGATGGCGAAAGATGCGATTTAGGGGTGGCCTGCTTCTTGCTTAGGGTTCTGCGAGGGTTTTTTTCTGAGGACGTAATTTTAGGGGGATTAATTGGCGAAGTGTGGTATTCACGGTGTCGATTATTCTGCTATTGTCTCACTTCTGATGCACCGTGTTCTTCCACAAATTTTTAACCCTTTCTGATTCGTACTTCTTCAGGAGTCTGTGAGGTTTTTCGTTGTGGCAATTTTAGAGAAGGCGTGGTAGATTAATTGGAAAATTGTGGTGTTCTTCTGCTTTTATTTCATTTATGTGGGGCGGTCTAGCGCAACGGCTGTGCGTGTGAGAGCGGTGTGTCGGTGAGGCGCGAAACACAGATTCAGTATTGATGAAAACTGGGAGATGATTCCAAACTTTTGGCCGGTACTGTATATATTTTCCGTAGCTGTAGGTTCGAGGAAAGATTGTATACGCGACCTAGGCAGCGAGGCGCAAGAAAGGCAGTCGACGGTCTACCACCGAAAACTGAGCTGGGCAACATCGGCCCGCGCTACGACACTCGCGGTCTCGCCTTCGGTGAATAAAGAATTCACCACGAACAGGTCTCAATTCATTTTCCGTTCCCACAGGGCCTATCCCATAAATAGAACGTACGTTAGGGTTTCTACGCCTACTACACAAATCAATTAAAGGTACCTATTAGGCCTTTTACGCCTATGCTACATCCATTCTATAGATCCAACGTAGCAACTATCCCATAAATAAATAGAACGTACGTTAAAGTTTCTACGCCTATTCAATAAATCAATCATATCTATTAAAGTACCTGCCATAAATCTAAACGTAACCTACTTAGGTACCTTCACCCTTCCACAAATAATCGACCGTAACTTATCTAGGGATACTCGCCTATCCCATAAATAGAACGTACGTTAGGGTTTCCACGCCTATTAAAGGTACCTATTAAAGCTTAAATATTAATAATTATAAATCGATCAAATATATCTATTAAAGTGTAATTACCTATTTTATATATCAATTGGACGTATATTAGGTGTTAGGGATTGGGTTTATGGCACGGCCGTTCTTTCATACGATTTTGAATGCACACCTTTCCCTTTTTTTTTTTTTTTGCCTTCAGCCAACTAAATCTTTTAATCTGTCAGCGAGGCCCAGGAAGCATTTATGGCGGTAGCAGCATAAAGTTTCTGCGCGCTACATGTCTTCCTGGTGCCCACTCGTGACCATCCGATAACTACTGCCGTGCCATAAAACCTTCCCCGTCGCCCCGACCGCTCAAGTCCCATTACGAGCGAGCTACCCTTGGACCTCATGCCCCCGCCAACGCGCCGTACCACCACTCTGCCAACTGGGACTTCCAGGATGGGCGGTATGCTAGCGGGTCCTGGAGGACTGTCCTAAGGGTAGTCACGCTCTAATTGGCGCACACCATCACCTCCCACACATCCACTTTTCATATAAATAACGACACAACACCCTCAAACGGGATGATTATTAACATTTGTATAAAGATCAACATTCACACGCACACCACACTAAGACGTTGATTATATCACCAAGTAACTTATTCTGAAATATAATATTGAAAATACGTGTGACACTATTTATCTTCACCAACATCACACCATCCATCAAACCAACATCATCGAACCAGCGGCAGCATAGCGCCACCACTCTCGAACATATTCCTTGTTCGAAGTACAAGACGCAACATTAGGATTTCTACGTCTATTCTATAAATCGATTAAAGGTATCTATTACAGTTTTTACATCTATTCTATATCCATTCTATAATATCCTTTCCAGGTCCCTTTCGCGAGTTTCTATTGGCAGGTAGAGACCGGCGCCGCAGGTCAACGTGGGGGGTCGTCGGTCGCGTCGATGTTTCGTGTTTCAGGACACGACGTTGATAATTTTTTCTAAGGTGAAATAATAATGTGGGATTTGACGAATTGGCAAAAAGATTGTGAAAATTGCAAAAAAATTTCTGACGCGATTAGAAGGAAGAGAAACGACGAACCATCCTCGTCGAAATGTTCCACACCCGTTTCGCTCGGCTCTCCGCGAGTTCTTCTGCCCCTTGTTCGCTGCAACAACACCCCTCGATCCCCCGAGGGCTGGTAACGTTCGTTATCGCTTAAAAGTGTGGAAGAGAAACGAACGTGGAAGTGGATACTTTGTATAAGAGACGGCGGACGTTTGTTACCGCTGCTTTCGCTGCCTGTCTTCCAACCCCCGCGGCGAACGGTAACCGGATACGAGGCGGTGTTTAGGCGATCTCTGGATGGCCGCGTTTAGCGTGCCTCCGATATCGCTTATTCTTCGTTCCTCCGCCTAAAACCACCCCTTATCTGCTTTCTTCAATTTCTCAAATTTTCTTCTACTTTCGGGGAGTTAAACTCGGAGCTTGAGAAATATTTAAAGAGACATTTGTAAGAGTTGCGAGAAATTTCGTCCCAATTTCTCAGGTTCAAATTCAACCACTGCTAACTTATTAGGAAAAAATTAATTAATTGATAATTAATAAGGAAATTTCTAAGATTTCTCGAAATTCTGGTATTGCTGTTTTCTGTTTAATTCCGTGCCAAGCCTCTTTTGAGCAAGTGTCATTACCAGTTTGGTAAATATGTAAAAATTATATAATTGTAGCTCGCTTACTATTTGTTGGATTGTTAAGAGGAATGAGTGTGTGTGTGTAGTAGTAATAGCAAAAATGATCATCTGTTTAGTATGGATGGACGATGATATGTTTCTTTTTCTTAGCGTCTTGTTGATCTCTAATTGATTGCGTAGAGACGTGCCTTCCTCGCGTATAAAATAAAGAAGAATTTATAATTGAAATACCATCTTTTGATTTATTACCTTAAATTCCAGTAATATTGAAAATACACGAGAATTCTTGCCAAGAAACGAGGTTCAGGTATGCACCGAAAATGGTACACGGTACTCTTTATTCGATACGAGCTTCTAGCGAACAGAAGGGCGCCTTCAGCCTCGAATTAGTCTGTTAGGGAAGGCGCACGCGAGCAACAACGTCAGGCTCAACTTGAAATTGAGTTGTCATCCACTCGCCAAGTTATATGGCGCCTTTATAATGTTGCCCGGGCCTCTGATGCGAAAACTATTAAGTCCGAAACCTGATAGCCTCCCCTGCTGTCTGGGTGGGGATATTAGGGACGCGTAGGGACGAGCTCGAAAAGGGAAAACACCGTTTCCATGGGGGTTGTTTCCGTGGGATGAAACATCTGTCAGACCCTGATGCCTCTTTATGTTCTCTCGCGGAGGATTAGGGTCAGTCTCGATGGAAATGGGATATGAAAAAATGATCGCTTCGACATGACTGCTTTTAGCCCCAAATTTTCTCTATTTATGGCGGGAACGTTCGGCTATTTCTCGAATAAATTCAAGAATACACACTGCACTGTATATAAAATAAATGTAAATTTCACGATAGAAATTTGAATAATTCGGAAGAAGAAATTTCTTCCATTTGGAATTTCAATTATCGACGTGAGTTTCGAAGGTGGAAATGGATTCTCGCGAGTTTCTCAACCGTTGTAATGGTCTGATTTCAGAGGGTCGTATCCTGGAGCTGCATTCTCCGGACGGAGTGCACGAGTGCTGGCTAAGGGCCGCAGACAACGCGGAGGCGAACGTGTGGTTCAACTCTCTGCACTCTGCACTCGCTGCTCTCACGCTGAAGGCGCTGCGACTGGCCTCGGCGCTTCCGGATCCGCCGCAGCTCCAGCACATCGGCTGGCTCGCGAGGAGACACTGTCTTCAGGTGAGTGGCTTTGCTCGTTTTGTGCATGGCTTGTTCAAACTGGCGACGTTAAGGCAACAGAGAAAATGGTAAACAGAAACGGACAGTTTTCGAAAGAAGGGGATTTAATACTGAGAGAAATAGAAACAAGTTCGGAGGGTAAGGACGGTAAAATCTTCTTGAAAATTTCGAGGAATTTTTGAACTTTCTGCTCTCAAGTTCGGTGCGAAGGAAATGTGAGAGGGTGCACAGTGTTGGGGAGAAAAAATCACTCCCAACATTGAAATCACCTCCTCCTGCATATTGAGTAAATGAGAAAGGGGGCAAAGGTATTTTGAACGAGCTTTCGAACGCTCAGTTCTCAAGCTCGACGCAAAGAAAATGTGAGAGAGTATTCCGAATCACATTTCACTCGCAACACTGAAAATACACTTCCATCCTGAGAGTAGTACATAGTGTTTGAGAGAAAAGATCACTCCCAGCAATGAAATTACCTCCTCCTACATATTGAGAGTAGATAAAACAGACAGCAAAAGTAATTTGAACGAGTTTCCGGACACTCGGTTCTCAATCTCAACGCAAAAAAAAACTGCAAGGGAGCACACAATGCTATAAAAAATAAATCTTTAAATATTCCGAATCACATTTCACTCGCAACACTGAAAATACACTTCCATCCTGAGAGTAGTACATAGTGTTTGAGAGAAAAGATCACTCCCAGCAATGAAATTACCTCCTCCTACATATTGAGAGTAGATAAAACAGACAGCAAAAGTAATTTGAACGAGTTTCCGGACACTCGGTTCTCAATCTCAACGCAAAAAAACTGCAAGGGAGCACACAATGCTATAAAAAATAAATCTTTAAATATTCCGAATCACATTTCACTCGCAACACTGAAAATACACTTTCGCCGTAAGAGTACACAGTGCCAGAGAAAAAAAATCACTCCCAACATTGAAATTACCATCTCCCCGAGAAAACCATTCCAAAAGAAATTCGACCGAGTTCTCGAACACTCCTTTTCTCGATCTGGACGCGAAGAGAAACGCAACGCTCTAAGAAAGAAATCCTCAAACATCCTTTGGAAGTGGCGTGGTGTAAAATAATTACTCGCGAAGGTTGCTTAACAGAAATATATATTTATTTAAATCAGATAACGCTTAAACTATTTTTAGTTAGTATAGGCGACACATAAATTAAGTAGCCCCTTTTCCCCTGGGAAAGTCCTAGGAAGTGGGGGCGCGGGCCTACATTGCCAAGGCGATGCTCTTGTCCTCGAGGACGAAGAAACCCAGAAATGTTTGTGTTCGGTACCGAAATATTCAGTTGATTAATTTCCTTTTCTGGTTTTTTCTACTCACTAACACGATACCTCTCATATCCCCAAACCTTACAATTAGACACGTAACAAGAAAAACACACCTATAACCACACCCTCTCCAACTCTCCTGTAAAACACCCGACATCTGTGGGCTATTTGTCTGGGTTGAGCGTCACGGCGAGAACGAGACTCTAATCAACCGCCGTTTAGAGATGAGCGTTCATTCTGAACAGGGAAACAAAGCAACGGGACCAGGGCATTTCTCGTTGAGGCCTCAGAGGATAAAGACGACTGTTGAAGAAAACGTTCAAGAGATTTATCATATACGTACCTCGCGATTCACATCGTTACAACGAAAAATATATTTCATTTGTTAAGTTGAGGTGGGTGAGGAACGTCGTTACCCTTTTCACCTCAATTTATTAAAGTATAAGTGTACGGTCGTATAGGCGTACAATTGGTCCAGAAAATGCAATCGTTTATTTTGTTACTTGTCCCGGCGGCAGCGGTTCGGCGGGTACGTCGCGACGGTCGATAAAGGAAAGACTGTCCGGAGGTGTAGGCGTACGCAACAGAACATTTTAATTACGTTAGCGTTGCGTTCATGCTGTCTGCGTCTTGAAACTTTGTACACCGGCAAGATTTCGGGTTGAACGTCAGGGGAGATGCAGAGGTTTTTATATTGTTAGGACAGGGAGATAGATAAAGATAGAAGTGGAGAAAGTGGTGGAAACGGGAAATCCTCGTGCGAACCTGGATGCCACGTGTGCGCTTCTTAGGCCACTCGAGGACGAAGGCAAGTCTTAACCCGGGGAGAGACCAAAGAACGGAAACTAAAATCTGAAGGAGTTGGAAAGGAGACAGTTCGCGTGGAAGAATAGAACGAGGTTCGGCAAGGGTTTGTTGACGACGACGTACCCGCCACAAAGTTAAGAAAACGTGTAGTGTCATTCCACCCACACGTCATCCTATCTAATAGACAGGCTTTCCTCTGCAAAGCAAGGCAAGTCACCGTCCAAGAGAAGGAGAACAATATCGCAAATACGATATTCCGGACGGTACAGTTTGGAAAACATCTCTCGAGTGCCAAGAGTCGCCAGGCCTAGGTACGTAGGCTCCCCGTGGCGGTCGCCACAATCCTGAATCGCGGTTCCCTCGCAACGTTGAGAACGAACTTTCAAAAGCCGGCAACAATCCGTACAATACCGAAAGCACAGACGGTACATTGAAGCGCGCCGAAATTAACGAGAAGACCGACCGTATCCTAACAAAAACCGCGAAACAGATGAAACAGTCCGTGGTAGAAAGAAACAAGCTAATAAAACGCGGTGAAATACCGGGGACACAGGAATCGACGGGGGAGAGGGTTGAAGGGGTGGTTCGGCTGATAAAACGCCGCGGACGAACAGCATGATTGAACGGGGGAAATGGAAAAGGGCTGCTAAAGTATGGGTAAGAATCGAGTGAAGAAAGAGGCAGCAGGAGGAGGGTGGAGAAAAAAGTTGAATGTAAAAGATCGGGAGGGAAAGTAATTTTAAGAAGGAGACAGAGAAATATTGAAAAGAGTCGAGTTTAAGGAAGAGGCTGGTTCGACGGTGAAGAGAGAGGGTGGGAAAGTATGAAAGAGGAAGTGGAATGGAAGCGAGCACGTCTGGCTGTCGACGCGCGTTTCCTCGCGTTTCACGGAATCGAATAGGCTGAGACTGCTCTTTCGCGAACAGTTTCGCTCTGATGGAGGGTGACGCGGTCCTCTCGACGAGTACCAGCCCGCATGAGCATACCAGCAATTTACCACGGGCCCGAATGCTCGACTGGAAGCGTCGGGACGCGCATCCACCGGCGAAACATTCTTAATCGTTCACGCGGAGAATGGAACGTTTCTCTTCTCTACTCGAGCGGCTCCGTCAATATGGCGGATCATTTTCTAACATGTTTTACCTCTGTACTGTGCTTTCAAAACATGTTGTTCCCTTTATTTCGTGGTTTGTTGTAACGTTTTACGTTTACGCATACACACACTCGCACGTGCCTATCAGGCGTTGAGGACAGGAGCCACGATCGACCGTATTTGTGACTTTCCCTATTAACGCCTGCTTCCTGCAATGTAATTAGTGAGAAAAATGGTTTAAATTGGTTCCTGCCAGAAAATGACTCCGACTCGTCTACGTTTCCTTGCAAAGGTGTACGTTGAAGGTCTCGGGAAGAGTGGATACGCGTCGTCCTGCCGATCCCTGTCCACCCCTACGCGAACAGGCCCAGGGAAAGGCCCAAAGGGGCGAGTCGTCCCCACCGAGCGCGCTGGGCCTGGCTTCAGCCTGGGACGGTCTTTCGAAGTGCTTAACAAGGAGTTATTGAAAAGAAAATTAAAAGAAAAATATGGAGTTCAACCCTTTGAGCACGACGAAATCGTATACTCAGAAAATACTGCAAAAGCAACTAATAAAGATAGCTAACCTGGCTAGAAACTCAGGTACACACGTGTACTCGAGTAAAGTACAATTTTGATATGATTTAATTTTCGAAAAATTCAAGCAACGACCTAGCTGCATAGTACATATAAAAGGTTAATGCATGCATAAGTTAGCCTCGGTCGTATAACGTTTTAATACAGCATCGAATAAAAACAACATCGAACCACTTCCATGTATATTTTCATATATTCGCGCAGTTCGCACTCGCCTCTCTCTCCGATAAATCAAAAAATAAATCGCAATAAAAATTCCGATATCGTGAAACACTCGTCTGACCGAAACGCAGTTAGAATGATGAATTTTTAACGACACCAGAATCCCGCCACCCGAAAAAAACAATCCTACTCTTCGTTGGCAATCGCTCGTTCGTCGTTCAACTGTCGTCTAACTAGCAGAGATCTCCCATTCTGCGACACAATGGCGTCGCTTCTCCGCGATCTCCCTATCGATTCGACGATAGTTAGCCCCCGCAGCCTTCCAATCAATTCGCCCGTGATTACCCAACGCGATCAAACCGACGGTGTTCGCTTTTAAATTCGTCTCCGCCGCCCACTCGTTTAATTATCTCGAATAGGCGACGCGACGTTTCTCGAGAGGCGATCGGTATACGGTTATCGGCACGCTCGACCGCATAATTAAACACCCGGGCTTCTTTTCGAGCAAAGGAACTTCGTTACGAGGAATATTTTCCTGCGAGTGAACGCGATCTTCGGGAACAATCGGGGATAATTAAGCGGTACAGGTGACTTGAGGAAGGAAAAATGTTGTCATCCTTTACGTGGAAATTGCGGAAATTTTGAAAGGGGATTTTTGAGGCTTCGAAGGTGATTCGAAGGGAATTCTAACCCTTTGGTTACTCGGGAAGATGTTTGCGGAGTATTCGGTGCTCGGAGATTCTTTTTATATGCGTAGAAAATGTGGAAATGAAGTTTGAATATTTTACAATGCACGATTTAAAGAAAAGGAATTTTTCTACGATAATATGGAAGTTTCTCTTATTATCAACCCTTCGACCGTTTATCCTGAGAGAGACTATGGCAGTGCGTTAAATAATGAGCAGTTTACCTCGTGAGAGACTTTTGAGAAGAAAGTTGGAAAGGAATAAGATATTATCAGACTGTCAATGGGTTAAATATTGCAACGAATTCTAGATAAATTTTCTCTAATTCAGTGAAATTACGCAGAACGAGACTTACGAGAATTATGCAAAATTGAATTTCTATAAC